AAAAAAAAGCAGTGAAACCAGCCTGGGTGCCTACTGTGGTAGTGATGTGGGCTGAGGCTGGGCACTGTGTATGTATGGCCTGCAGGGAACTGTAGGTGATCATGGCCTTCAAAAGCACTTTTCCGAGATGAGCCCTTTTTGGCTGCCACATTCCTCAAGGTAAGATGCTTACCTGTGATCTGCTAGAAAGACGGGGAATTGGGGAGATTGTGTGTTCAGGTGAGTCTGGAAAGCTTTCACATGAAGAAAGTTAGATTTCTTTTTTGCAAGACTCCTCAGAACCTTTATTATGTTATTTTGTGCTGTGAATCTCCTCGAAAGGCTTTCTGATGTTGTTTGACCAAGCTACCTTTTCATGTTATTTTGCTGTAAAATTATACCAATCCTGGGGCCTGGCGTGGTGGTTCACATCTGTAATCCCAGCACTTTGGGAGGCCAAGGCAGGTAGATCATTCGAGGTTAGGAGTTCCATACCAGCCTGGTCAACATGATGAAATCCTGTCTTTACTGAAAATACAAAAAAATTAGCCTGGTCTGGTGGTACGCATCTATAATCCTGCTACTTGGGAGGCTGACGCAGGAGAATTGCTTGAACCCCAGAGGCAGGGGTTGCAGTGAGCCGAGATCACGCCACTGCACTCCAGCCTGGGCAACAGAGCGAGACTCCATCTCAAAAATAAATAAAATGATACCAATTCATGACATGGTGATTAATGAAGCTGAATATTACTGTTGACTATTCTTTGTTTCATTTACTGAGTCAACAAAAAGGTATTGACTGTCTTTTGTGTGCGAGGCTCTGCTTTAAGCCCCGGACATAAGGCAGCAAACAAGATGGACACAGGCTTCATCGTCATGGAATGAGGCACTACAGTTTCGAAGGCTGTGAAGGAGAAGTCAGGCACCATGACAACCTTTAAATGGACAGGCCTGTGTGAAGGGGTCAGGGCAGGTGTCCCTGAGGGACTGGCACTGACCCTGAGTTCTGAGGGATGAATAGGGAGTTAGTTGGGGCAGGGAAAGGTGAATGGTGACTACCTGGGACGTACCAGTGACAGTGTAGCCCAGGTGTTTAGATTTGGGGAGGAGGAGGTTAAGGTCAGAGGGGTATGGCAGGTGGGAGCCAGATCAAACTAAAACTGGGCTTCCTGGTGACATGGGGAAACTGAGTTCTGAACAGGCTGGTAACCTGATCAGGTGTGCCTTTGAAAAGGATCAGTTAGGGCCTGTAATTCTAGCACTTTGGGAGGTTGTGGCGGGTGGATCACTTGAGCCCAGGAGTTCAAGACCAGCCTTGAACCGCATCTCTACAGAAAATACAAAAACTAGCCGGCTGTGGTGATGTGTGCCTGTGGTCTCAGCTACTCTGGGGCTGAGGTGGGAGGATCACTTGAGGCAAAGGTTGCAGTGAGCTGAGATCACACCCACTGCACTTCAGCCCGGATGACAGAGTGAGACCCTGTCTCATAAAAGGGGAGGGGTGGATCATTTAGGCCACTGAGTGGAGAACAGGGTTGGTCTGTAGGAAGACAAGGATGTCTAGAGAGAGATAGTGAGGCTTATCCCTGGGAGTAGAGGGTAGTAGGGGATGGATTTGAGAGACAGGAGGATATTTAATGAGAATAATTCCGTGTTAATGGTATAATGGTTTTCCCTTTGAGGACAAGACCAACAATTGGATTTAATAACATCTGACATTTTCCTTTCTTCTATTACAGTGAAAGGAAAGTTCCTTCACTTTTTCCTCCCTTATGCCTCCTAAATCCTCCCTCTCAGCCTGAAACGTCGGACATTTCTTCTCTGGGTAGCTCCATTCTAATCTAACTTGCCATAGCCTCAATTTTAGGTTTTATCACAGGATTTCTGTACTGAAATCCTTCCTATTGACTCCCCAGGCCTTCAGGCTGAAATACCAACGCCTTCCCCAGGCCCTGTTCCTCTGCCTCTACTCTCTCTCACCTTGCCTCCTGTACCCCCCGCCCCTGCCCCGGCCCCCACCCCCACCTCCATTTTAGCTGCGCTAATCTGGTACTTGAAAGTTCCCACAATGGGCTGCATATGCATGGGCTCCCTTCCTTTGCACGTGCCTTTTCTTCAGTCAGTGCCTTCTCCCATTTCTTCACCTGAGCAAGTCGTCTTTATCCCGAATCTAAACCCAGCCCTCCCTTTTTTGGGGGGACAGAGTCCCTCTGTTGCCCAGACTGGAGTGTAGTGGTGCGATCTCTGCTCACTGCAGCCTCCGTCTCACAGGTTCAAGAGATTCTCCTGCCTCAGCCTCCTGAGTAGCTGGGATTACAGGCATGAGACACAACACCTGGTTAATTTTTGTATTTTTAGTAGAGACAGGGTTTCACCATGTTGGCCAGGCTGATCTAAACTCCTGGCCTCAAGTGATCCGCCCACCTCAGCCTCCCAAAGTGCTGAGATTACAGGTGTGAGCCACCGCGCCTGGCATCAGCCCACATTTTCTCAAGCACCTTCCTTGAGCCTGGCCAGTCTGAGTTAGGTACCTACCCATCCTTCGTTTCTACAGCCCTCTGCTCTTCCTGCAGATTGTTATTAGTGCTCATCTTGTTTTTCTCCCTCATTAGCTTGGGGGGAGGAGCTCCTTAAGGGCAGCAACTTTGCTCTCATCTCTGAACCCCAGAAAATAACACAGCACCTGGGACAAAGTAGGTGAACAATAAATGGCTAACTGAATAAATGATGGTATGATTGAATAAGGGAATAAGCAAGAAATAAGTTTTAAGTTAATTTCTAAGAACTTTTTGTATATAACATTTTAACTTTCTGTTTTCTTTCATTTCCTAGCACAGCTGAAGGTTTAACAAGAAAAAATATGTCAGATGTCAGTGGGTGGCAAACATTTTTACAAGCCCTTGACTACTTCCTCAAAATGTTCTTTGGCTCTGCAGCGCTCGGCACTCTCACTGGCTTAATTTCTGCATTAATATCCTTTTAATGTGATGAACATGCAGGGTTGAGATTATTCTTGATTATTTTATCTCTAGCCAGTTTCTCCTGTTTTTTAAGGGGGTCAGTGTTAGATGAAGGTTTTGCTGAAAGGAGGATTTTTTGCTTTGTTTTGTTTGAGAAACACTTTTAACTCAAGGATTTTTAAATTTAACATGTGAAATTTAGGATATCACTTTTCAAAGTTTAAAAAACATGTACACTATTGGATATCAGATGTGATTTTGGGGGACCTCTTGGTTCCCAGGGTATGAAAGCCACACTCGGATGATTTTCATTTTCTGCCGTCTCACTTCTCACATTTGGAAAATTGGAAATTAATTTTCTTTGAAAATGTCAAATAGACCTGGTACAGTGGCTCACACCAGCACTTTGAGAGGCTAAGGTTGCCCAGGGGTGCAAGACCAGCCTGAGCAATATAGCGAGACCTCATCTCTAAAAAATAAATAAAAATAAAATGTCAAATAGGGAAAATTGTTATCCCATTGGAAGTGTTTATCCATAAGGACTGGAAAAGGGGCTCTTGAAGTGTGTTCCATGGAGCTATTTGCACTGATTTTGTTGTTTAACAACCAATACGCCTTTCCAGCTGGAGCAGGAAAGAGGCTTGTTAAGGCCAATGACACCTTTATTGCTGTAGAAATTTCATTATGTTTAAAATAGAAACAGGCAGTAGACCACTTGGGGGCGCACCTAAGCCTACGTCTCAGGGAGATGGCCACCTGCCCCTCCTCCACGAGCAGTTTGTTTCACAGATGGCCGGAAGAGACTCTTTTGCCTGTTACAGGCATGTTTTTCTGCCATCCTGTTGAATTTTTCCATCAGCTCCTTTGTCCAGAAGTCTAAAGGCTCTATTGACTTGGCTAACAGCTTCTCATATTGTACCAATAAACAGAATGGAACAGAAAACTTTTTCCAGTTCAGTGTTTTCCTCCATATTTATCTTTTTCTTTAAAAAAAAAAAAAAGTATCTATCAAAATGAAGTGTCACAGATGGGTACTGTAAGCACCAGTATAGGCATTATGAACAATACTTGAATATATAGAAGGCTCTCTCCTTTCACAGGGGCATGAGTTTGGAAATCTCCAGGAACAGGAAGACTGTTTCAACAGGGCCTTGAACCCCAGTTTGAACAGCAATTCACACTGTTGTGTTTGACTCAAAACTGATGGGGAAAGTGAGATGAGTAGCGTTAGTGATCTCATCTGATGTTGTTGGAAGAGTGGGGGTGGTGCGGCCCTGGGAGGAACCTGGCCAAGTGAGCTATCCTTGGCGCGTCCACAGTGCCAGTTTCACCTCATGGCCTGGCACATCCTCAGCCCTTTAAGTCAGCGTTTTTAAATGAGTTGACTTAGCTTGATTTTCATTTTCTGCCACCATTTATCTCCAGAATTAGTGTTTTGTCAGATTCCCTTTCTTATAGTCTCCCTACAAAGGAAAAAATCCATAATGACAAATTTTCTGTTGTAACCTTGGGATGTTGCAAAATCTTCTGTATCTATTGTTTACTTCATGTATTTGGAAAGCAGCAGTTTTGTGACTTCTCCACATCTCCCAACTCTCCCTCGATTCTTCCTTGACAGTTGTCATTTACGTGCTGAAGCATATTGACTTGAGGAAAACACCTTCCTTGGAATTTGGCATGATGATCATTTTTGCTTATCTGCCTTATGGGCTTGCAGAAGGAATCTCACTCTCAGGTAAGTGACAGAGACTCTGAAAGTGCTGTGATGATGGCACCTTGTCTTGTCCTGCCTGGTGAAAGGGGCTTTGTCAGTTGGGTCACTTTTAGTCACAAGAGACAGTCACAACTCAGAAGAGCTTAAGTAATAAAGGGCCTCTATTGGCTCCCTAGAAAAACATCTGGGCTGGATGCAGTGGCTCACGCCTGTAATCCCAGCACTTTGGGAGGCCAAGGTGGGCGGATCACGAGGTCAGGAGATCAAAACCATCCTGGCCAACATGGTGAAACCCTGTCTCTACTAAAGGTACAAAAATCAGCTGGGCGTGGTGGCAGGTGCCTGTAATCCCAGCTACTCAGGAGGCTGAGGCAGGAGAATTGCTTGAACCTGGGAGGCGGAGGTTGTAGTGAGCCAAGATCACACCACTGCACTCCAGCCTGGGCAACAGAGCAAGACTCCATTAAAAAAAAAAAAAAACACCACATTTGGATTTAGGCCTGCCTGGATCCAGGGGCTCAAACAGTCACATTGGTGTCAATCACATTTTCTTTTAACCTGCCTTCTCTCATTTAGCCCATCAGTCCTATGAGGCTCCCTCGGAGGAGGGTAGCCTGTGGGAGGGAGGTACTGTGAAGGTCCTTATTTTACTGATGAGAAAACTGAGGTTGAATGAGATTAAATAAATTACCCAAGGTCACAGCTGGGATTGGTGGAATAACAATTTAAACTAGTTGTCTTTGAGTCAAGAACTAGTGCTTAGAACCCTCCTCTAATACAATTTTCTCCAACACAAATCGTCATAAACCATGTACTCAGTGGTAATAGAGGAGAAAGCAAGTGTGGTGGTGGCATAGTGTTGGAGTAGCCGTTTATTGGACACAGCAGTTTTGTAACTTTTTTTATGCTGTATTCGGGTTTTTAATGCTGCTACCACCGCTGTGGAGTAGGTACTAGGAGACTCATTAGCCCAGAGCTGCACTGCACAGGCAGTGGTGGCAGTGAGATTGAAACCCAGACAATGGAGCCCTGTAGACTTTTCCCTGCACCCCATTGGAGGAGGGCATGCAGCTCCCAGCAGCAGAGATGACTCTGATGTGGCCCTAGAAGATGATGCTCACCAGCTGGGGGAGGGGTAACTGCTCACAGAGTAAGGGTCTCTGAGCAGTCACCTTGTAGTCAATCAGCAGCCCCTGTTTGCAAGGCTTGGCTTAGTTGGGCCTTCTGCCCACAAGTGGCAGTCAAGCTTGTGTCCGTAGTTCGTTACATTGTAAGGATGTTGACTTGAAAATGGAGCATGACTCACCCCTGTTCCTGTGTGATGGGGCAGCCAGGTGGGAAGGGCTCTGCCCTGAAAGTCTGACCCCATCCTTTGAGTGAAGGCCCTTCAGAGCACTTGTTTTGGAAAGGAGGCGCTATTGCAGGGATGTTTTGATCTGTGCCACAGGATGGCAAAGATTTTCTTTTCTATTAGCTTTGTTGAGGTATAATTTACACATAATACGTGGACCTGTTCTAAGTATACAGTTCCATGAATTTCGGCAAATTGCAGGCGTAACTACCCCCGCAGTCGAGGTATGGCATATTCTGATCGCCCAGTATGGCTCCCCTGTGCCCTTCTGCAGTCAGTCCCCCACCTGTCCTGGCTCCTGGCACCCACTGATCTTCACTGTCACTATAGTTTTGCCTGTTCCAGAGTGTCATTTAAGTGAAATCATGTGGTTGAGTTACCATAATGTTTTTGGGAGACACCCATATTTTTGCATGTGTCAGTAGTTAATCATTCTTACTGCCCCATAGTTTATTATCTGTTCTCTATTTGAAGGACATTTGGGGTTTTCCAGATTTGGGCTAAGAACATGGTGCATATGTTTTCATTTGTCTTGGGTAAATACCTAAGATTAAAGCTGCTAGGTCATATGGTAAGTACATTTTTACTTTTTTGGAAACTGCCTAGTGTTTTTTGAAGTGACTATAGCATTTTACATTCCCGTCAGAATGTGTGAGAGAGTGCCAGTTGCTTCATATTGTCACCATACTTATTTTAATTTTAAAAAGGTCAGCTGCCCTGATAGGTGTGTAGCAACGGGATTTAGATGTGCCTTGGTGTGGTTCTTTTTATATTCCACTTGGGTTCATTGAGCTTCTTGGGTTTATAGTTTATATGAGTTTATAGCTTTCATCAGATTTGGTAAGCTTTTGCCCATTTCTTTATTAACATTTTTTTGTTCCCCCTTCCCCTTCCCCTTGAGACTTCAATTTACTGCAATTATGAGAGCTAGCATGTTATTGGCCCACAATATGCTTTGCCCTTTTTTTTTCTGTTTTCTTTCCTTACGTGCTTTATTTTTGTTATTTTCTGTTGCTGTGTTTTCAAGGTCACTGATCTTTCCTTCTGCCATGTGGAATCTCTTCTAATCCTACCCAGTGTATTTCTCATTTGCATTTTCTATAATTCATTGAGGGAAGTTCCCCTTTGGGTTATTTTCACTTCTTCCATTTCTCTCTTCATCATGTTCGTGTTTTCCTCTATATTCTGGAGCTTATGAAACATATTTATAATAGCTGTTTTAATGTCCTTGTTTGCTAATTCCATCATCTCTGTCAATTCTAGGTCTGCTCTGTTGTTGATTTTTCTTGTGCTTATAGGTCACATTTTCTTGCTCTTTGCTTGCTATTAAGTTTTGATTGGATGTCAGTCATTGTGAACTTTATGTTGTTGAGTACAAGATTTTATTATGTTCCTTTATGGAGTTCCAGACTTTTCTTTTTAAAGAAAAAATATAGGCTGGGCATGGTGGCTCAGGCCTGTAATCCCAGCACTTGGGAGGCCGAGGCGGGCGGATCGCCTTAGGTCGGGAGTTTGAGACCAGCCTGACCAACATGGAGAAACCCCGTCTCTACGAAAAATACAAAATTAGCTGGGCTTGGTGGTGCATGCCTATAATCTTAGCTACTCGGGAGGCTGAGGCAGGAGAATCGCTTGAACCCGGGAGACAGAGGTGGTGTTGAGCTGAAATTGCGCCATTGCACTCCAGCCTGGGCAACAAGAGCGAAACTCCATCTCCAAATAATAATAAATTTTATATATGTGTATATATATATATATATATATATTTGTTTCCTGTGTGTTATTTCTGGGCTTTTCTTGTGGCATATATCTAAGTCTCTTGACATCAGTGTAATCCTTTTAGAGGCTTACATTTAAACTTTGTTAGGGCAGGTGCAGAGTAGCAGGGCCCTAACTAAGGTGTCTCAGGTATTGTGAGCTCACTCCACTCTGGCTGGTGGGAACACAAACTATTCCCAGCCCCGTGTCAGCTTCTGGGATTCTTCAGCCTACTTCGTTTTCATGGTTCTTTCCCCAGCCTCTTGTTTCATCCCACGTACTTACTGATCAGTATCAGTCAGAGACTCAAGGGGACTTTACAATAGATGTCCAAGAGCTCTCTTTCTGTGCAGCTTCCCCCACCCAACATGACAGCCCCCCAGAGCCTCAGTCTCAGGCAGTCAGCTCAGCCAGGGGGTCTGGAGAAAGAGTGGCCACGTTGTTTGTTTCCCTTATGGCCAGAATCACAGCCGTACCCTATCTTTTGTCCCATGTCAGAAAATAGTTTTGTTTCGCATCTTGTATCAGGTTTTGTAGATATGTAGAGGAGGACAGTGTTCTGTGTAGCAGTAATTTCTTCGGACACAAAGCGGAAGGCCCAGTGATCTTTAGTGACTCCACTGACAGAATTCTTCTGCCCACAGTCACTTTCTGGAGTCACACGTGGGTGCTGTGTGAGCAGCACAAGGAGGAAGCAGAGTGGACTCGCCATTTTCAGGATTTTGTTTTTCATCACAAACCACTTCACCAGGATAATTCCATCCTGGTATCTGCCATGAGGTTCCTTTTCTTTACTGAATGTTGGCACTTACAAAAACATTACCTGTGAGTCATTTAGCTCTAGCCTAGCTATTTTTACATCTGTTTTTCTAAATTGTTCCTCTACCCCCTTGAGATGATCATTGAGTACCTGCTGGCAAACATGTGTTTCATGCATCTGTTTGGAATCTGTGATTAAAACAAAGGAGTGTTTTTCTTACCTTCTTTTCAGAGTGGCAGTGTTTCCTGTTGATAGGGGTGTCATTTCCTAGGGACCTTGTTCCACGCAGAGCAGTGCAAGCCAGGAACACCAGATCTGCCTCTGGGTAAGGGACCCTGCTCTGTCTGCGCTTTGCCTTTTGGGCGTTTGCCACGCCGAGAGGGGCAGGATGGCCCTGTGCGGTGTGTGGACCCTCACACCGTACTGTGAAAGCACAGGTGGAGAGGATGGTGTTTTTGCTGTCTTCTGCTTCCCTTTTGGGCTCCCCTTTTCCTATCACAAAGGACTGATCTCAGGTGGTTCCCAAGACCGCAAAGCAGGACATTTTCTTCCTAGGAAGTGGGAATTATTTACCTAAATCCACATGTAGGGAACACAGTTGTTAAGGACTGGGGCTGGAAAACGGACAGACTTGGATTTGAACCCCAGCTCCACTTCTCATTGGCTGTGTAACCTCAGACAACAGACTTAACCACCCCGTGCTCTACTTCCTCATCATAAAATAGACAAATAAAAGGGCCAGCCTAATGCCTTTGCTGAGAATGAATGAAAGTGATGCAAGTGACAGTTCTGATGGGGCATCTGTGCTACTGCTGGGGTGGCCATAAGTCCTGGTTTGCTCCGAGACCCCCAGTTTTGCTGTTGTCTCAACATGATGAATGAATAATATCCCCTTTTATTCTAAAAAATGTCCTGGTATCCACAGCAAATCAAATAGTCTCCCTAATTACTACTCAGCAAGCTTTAGCTATTCTCAGAATATTCGTTCTAATTGTATCCATGTTAACTATTTTTATTGTTCAGTCAAGCCAGTTTTGAGGGCCACTTTGGCCTCTGACACTAAAGATTCAGAGGTGAATAGACCCCACTTATGCAGAGCAGTTAGCAAACACTGGGCTTACAGGGGACGGGACAGTGACACTCTATCAAGGCGAGTCAGAGGAGGGGACTTTGGACTTGAAGGATGAGTTTGTAAGATTAATCATGACATAACGCTTTCTTAAGATATTGGCATAAAGTTGGCCAAAGATGGAATGTACACTGAAGTGCTCTTATGCATTGATATCTAAGGAATTCCATTGCAGCACTGCTTGAGAGAGAAAAATTGGAAGGAACTAAATGTTCATTAGTAATGGAAAAGATTAAATTCCAGTCCATTTGCACTTTGGAGTCCTGTGCAATCACTTCAGAAATGAACTTGACCTGTTTGTACTACCCATGGAAAGAATTTGACATAGTGTTAAATTTTTTTAAAGTAAGTTGAAAAATCAATTTCTTTCTTTCTTTTTTTTTTTTTTCTTTTTTTTGAGATAGAGTCTTGTTCTGTCACCAGGCGCCAGGCTGGAGTGCAGTGGCGCAATCTCGGCTCACTGCAATCTCCACCTCCCAGGTTCAAGCAGTTCTCCTGCCTCAGCCTCCTGAGTAGCTGGGGCTACAGGTGCACGCCACCACACCCAGCTAATTTTTGTGTTTTTTAGTAGAGACGGGGTTTCACCATGTTGGCCAGGATGGTTTCAGTCTTTTGACCTCATGATCTGCCTGCCTCAGCCTCCCGAAGTGCTGGAATTACAGGCGTGAGCCACTGCACCTGGCCGAAAAATCAATTTCTTACCCATTCAAGAAATATTTATTAAATGCCCACCCTATGCTGAGAACTATCCTTGCTACTGGGGCTACAGTAATAAACAATACAAGATCAGGTTCCTTTTCCTGCAGAAGAAAGTCAGCCAGAATGTACGCAAACCCATACAACAATTCCAGGTGGCAAGAAATGACAAGAAGAGAAATCAAATCCATGTGGCAGAGAGTGGCATGCGGTAGAGGATGTACTGGGGCTCAGGCAGCCAGGGAGGTCTCTCCTGGAGGTGGCCCTGGAGCCTAGACCTGTGTGGTGACAGGATCCAGCCCAGAGATGCTCTAGGGAAGGAGGTTCTGGAGGGTCCGAAGATAGATGTGTGGGAGTGTGGCATGCTCCGGGAAGAGAAGGAAGACCAGTGTGGCCAGAACAGAGCAGGCAAGGACACTGCCTTGCAGGCTTGGTAGGGCCTGGGCAGGAGCTGGGGTTCTGTTAGATGCACCATGACAAGAGAGTTGAAAGCCCTTGAAAAAAATCACTCTGCTGGTAATAGGCACCATATATGTGATAGGATCCTGTTTATTACTTTATTTTAATTATATTTTAATTTTATTTTTTGAGACAGGATCATGCTTTGTTGGCCAGGCTGGAGCGCAGTGGCAGAATCACAACTCACTGCAGCCTTGACCTCCCCAGGCTTAGGTGATCCTTCCATCTCAGCCTCCTGAGTAGCTGGCACTACAGGCACATGCCACCACACTGACTAGTTTTGTTTTGTTTTGTTTTTTTCATAGAGATACATATAATTTATGCTATCTTATTTAAATAAAAATTCATTTAAGAAAATAGTATTCTATATATGAAAGGCCAGGTACCATTATTGAGATGGAATGAAACAGAAACTAAAGTAAGGATTGGGATTTATATATATATATATATGTATATATGTATATACACACACACACACACACACACACACACACACACAGGTATTGATCGACTTACGACCATTCGACTTTACGACCACAATCGCTAGCCACGACTGCTCCGCGTCTGGCAGTGCAAACGTTGCGCAGCTAGGCATACAACAGTGCGGGACAATAAACATATATGCTATATCATATCATTATTAGTCATTTTCTTGCCCTTCTTACTAAAATGTGAGTGGTTTATATCCCTATATCTTTAACAATATTAGAACATACTAAGTTTAAATTATATTTGAACAAGATATCCAGATGACATCTTTTATGATGAATGCTACATATTTGTATCCCATGGAAAGTCACATAAAATTGTGATGATTTACTTTTCTATTTACAATGATAATACATAAATACCTGGCAACTAGTCCTTTTTAACCCTAAGACTTAACATAGTTCATACTCTTCTGCTTTTCCAAACTCATCATGTGCTGTGGTTTTTCACTTCAAACCATAGACCACCGTGGTTCAGTGATCTGTGAATATTCCACAGTTTTACACAAGGCTGCGCCTTTACCACAAGTTAAGGTGGCTTTTTAAAAATGAGATTTGACAAGAATGCTTTCATAATAAGCATTCAGGTCAACCTTTACTACTGGTAATGCAGTGTTTTACTTAAACCTGACGAATGTAAAAATAAATAAAATGGTGTAGAGATGATACAAATAGCATAAAATGAACAAAGAAAATTATGATATATAACAATAATGAAAGAAAATTATGATAAAATATGACTTAAAGATTTTTATAACATCATTTCACAGTACTGTACATATAGCCTACTCAACTTACGACCAAATCGTGTTACGACCGGTCTGTCGGAACCAATCGTGGTCATAAGTCGAGTACTAGCTGTACACACACACACACACACACACACACACACACACACACACTCGGAATTAGTATATCTTGGCAGCTTGATGACTTTTTAAAACAACCTCAGCCTCCTTACATGAAATAGAGACCCCTTTTCTGCTGCCCACACAGGGAGATACTGAGAAGAAACCTGAGTGCCCCAGGAGCGACTGAGAGCAGCAGACAAACGCTGAGGCTCCAATCCTGCGTAAACACCAAATGCTGGGGACGCTCTCATGCAGGGCTTTGAAGAAAAGATGCATTACTTTTTAAATAACAGTAGTACATGATTATGGGAAAATTCATTGTTAGGGAAATGTATTTTAAAAGTCAATCAACATCCAAACATTTGGCCGGGTGTAGTGACTCACACCTGTAATACCAGCACTTTGGGAGGCTGAGGCGGGTGGATTGCCTGAGCTCAGGAGTTTGAGACTAGCCTGGGCAGCATAGCAAACCTCATCTCTACAAAAATACAAAAAAATAGCCAGGTGTGTTGGTGTGTGCCTGTGAACCCAGCTATTTGGGAAGCTGAGGTGGGAGGATTGCTTGAGCCCAGGAGGCAGAGGTTGGAATGAGCTGTGATCATACCGTATATTCCAGCCTGGGTGATAGAGTGAAACCCTGTCTCAAATAAAAAAAAAAAAAAAAAATTCCACACATTCTCCATACACAGATTCTTAGACTCCTTTTCTGGCCCCCAGAGTGGTTCACTTGCTCCTCTTATACAGTCCTCCCCCAGCATCCATGGAGGATCAGCTCTAGGATGCCCCACAGATAGAAAACTCGTAGGTGCTCAAGTCCCATATATACAATGATGCAGTTGGCCAGCACGGTGGCTCACGCCTATAATACCAGCACTTTGGGAGGGCGAGGCAGGCGGATCACCTGAGATTAGGAGTTTGAGACCAGCATGGCCAACATGGTGAAACCTCATGTCTACTAAAAATACAAAAAATTAGCCAGGCATGGTAGTGTGTGCTTGTAGTAGTCCCAACTCCTCAGGAGGCTAAGGCAGGAGAATCGCGTGAACCTGGGAGGCAGAGGTTACAGTGAGTCAAGATCGCACTATTGCACTCCAACCTGGGCAACAAGAGCAAAACTCCGTTTCAAAAAAAAAAAAATGATGCAGTGCAGTGGGCCCTCCATACCCACAGGTTCCACATCTGCCAATCCTATCCCTGGATGTCAGTGTTAATCCATACCTCTTTAGCTCTGGTACTGTGAAGGGGACTTTACATGGCTTCTTTTCGCTCACCCGCCTAACACTTCTGTGAGTGGGTACTATTAGTCCCACTGTACAGAAGAGAAAACTGAGGCTCTGATGGGGGACATGATGTGGCTCAAGATCATCCAGCTAGTAATGAGACTGCCAGAGAAAAGGGGCCCATGGTGTTTTTTCTGAAGCTGGGAGGCCTCAGGTATTCATTTATATTCCTTTTTCTTCTTCTTCTTTTTTTTTTTTTAATTGTAATTTAGGTTTATATTCCTTTTTCTTAAAATGCCTAAAGCTCTAGGCTGCAGGGATTTTCAGGAATTGTGAGATCTGAGTTGGGGGTCACACGGCAGGCGCTTTTCTGTTCTGTTCTCTCCCTCTAGGCATCATGGCCATCCTGTTCTCAGGCATCGTGATGTCGCACTACACGCACCATAACCTCTCCCCAGTCACCCAGATCCTCATGCAGCAGACCCTCCGCACTGTGGCCTTCTTGTGTGGTGAGTTCTGCCTCTGGGTGGCCCTGTGCAGGCCTACCCGGAGCTGATCTTTCTTCCTTATCCTGTTCTAGAAGTCAGCTGAGACTTTCCCTGGCAGTAGGGCATCAGTTCCTCAGGGCCAGATCCCATACTCCCTTGTCTTTTGTTTGTTCCTCTGGCTCTGAAATTTCATAAAGTAAACCAAACACCTAATACATGGACATCTGGTGCCTACAATTTAAAGACCAAAAATAGAACTAATTATGAACATTTGAGACATGCATTTTTAATGTATTAATATGACATTTCCAAAAATGTATTCTTTAGAAATAATATTCATGATGGTTAGATGAAAATGGCTCCATAGTCAAGCAAGGCGTGGGGCTCATACCTGTAATCCTAGCTGCTTAGGAGGCTGAGGTGAGAGGATCACTTGAGCCCAGGAGTTCAAGGCTGCATTGGACTATGATCTTTAAAAAAAAAGAAGAAGAAAGAGAAAAAACGGTAAAGCTTTTGTAGTCAAACAAGAGTTTCGGAAATTCTGGGTTAAATAAAATTTAATATTTATGAATTGCCAGGCTTTTCAGCAAATGGGCATTATAAAATTCTTAACGGGGGATATAGTTGTAGCATTTGCCAAACTTGTCCACAGAATCCTTTGTTCACAAGAGCCGCATGAGGTACATCACTCAGGGACAGTCTGCAGTAGAGGTGTCACTTGTTGGGCTGGGATAAGCCACGATGGCTTGTTCTTGATCTTAGCCAACAGGCCGAGAAGCTCACTATGGCTTTTTCTTTAAGCAATTTGAGCTCTTGTTCCCCCCACGCTCAGACATACCCATGTATCTCCCCCACAACTTTACACTTGGAAGTGGTTGGAGTTGGGGAACAACCCTCACCATATCCCTTTAAGCTGGCCCCAAGTAGCTGTGCCCTAGCTGTCATCATCAAAATCACCCCTGACATTTTTTTGGCGGCAGGGGGTCGGGGTCTTGTCTGATTTTTAATTGCCACTTCCACACGGTTAGCATGCTAGGAGGCAGGAGCAGGCCAGGCAGAGACTTCGGCAGATGAGGAGGCTCAGGTGAGAAGTGGTCAGATGACCTGCCCATGGTCTCAAGGCCAAGAAGCGGGTATGCAAGCCAGGTCTCTTTATTCCTGGCCAGTGGGTATTATTTGTACAGCACCTCTCAGAAAGCCAGGGCTACAGATTCTGACCCTGATCCTCCCAATTAAAGAAACATAAAGCAAAACATCCATCCAAAAAGATTCTATTTTGTACCATCAGATTGGCAAATGTTAAGTCTGATAATACCCACTTCTGGCCTTGGTGTGTGGGACACAGGCCTAGTGGATGGGACACTGATGCCATCTTTTCTGGAGAGTTAATTTGCCACGTTTCTCTGAATTTGAAAGGCACATGCTCTTTGGCCTAGCAGTTCAACCGTGTGGTATTGAGCCTGTGTACTGGGGTGTTTGTTGACCCTCTCAGAAATAGAAACAGTCTAAATATCCATTCATAGAAGACTGGTCATTAGAAAAATTGTCAAATTTTGGCAGTTTGTCAAATTTGACAGAAAAACTGTCAAATACTTCTGCAGATAAACACTGTCCCTCCCAGGGAAGATGAAAAACATGAGTCTGTCCGTTTGCTGAATGCTGTCATTAGCAAGGATCCCAACTGTGGCAAAGTGACAAAAATTCAGGGCAAATGACTGCAGATGCCACAGGACAAATGTGAAGGGTCTTTGGTTAATCATGATTAATCCAGGTCCTGGAGTTGATGCTGCCAGGGAAGAGCATTCACTAGATCTGAATGTCTTCTAAATGTGCTCATTTGGAAAGATCACATGAATATGAGATAAGAAGAAAGTTTCAAAGAGAAGGGTGATTAAACTGTCTAGCTTGTGGACTTGTTACTTGTTTTAAACTTGGGTACCATTCAAAGGAAAAACATTGCTGGAATGTAAAACAGTCTTGCTGTTTATGATCAACTATTTTAAAATACAGTTTTAATCTCTCTAGTCATTATGTTATTCTGAGGAACATCACAGTTTAAGCAGAGAGCCTAGTGTTAGAAATTTATAAGGTACTTTTTCTTAAAATATACAAGTTTGTGTGGCAGAGAGTAAATATTGGACTCTCTTTGGCTTGCAGAATGGAGCCAAGAGTTAGCATTGCGTCTCACTCTGCAAATCCTGCTGGGTGTGAGCTGTGTACTAAACCTTGTGACAGCATTAAATATATTAAGCTAATCATGTGGAAGTTAACCAGAGGCCCCTTCACATTTGTCCTGTGGCGCCTGCAGTCATTTGCTCTGAATTTTTGCCACTTTGTCACAGTCGGGACCCTGGCTAATGACAGTGTTCAGCAGATTGACAGATTCATGTGTTTATTATCTTCCCTGGGTGGGATCATGTTTATTTGCAGAAGTATTTGACAGTTGACTGGATTACATTAGGAGATTTCTGAATACCAGGGACGTGTTGCTTGTGTAATAGAAGAGAATGAGAGAACTAAAAGAATAAAAACCATAACACACACACACAAAGAAAAGAATGAGAGACTTTAAGCACAAGTTTGACCAAGATATTGGCTCAGGATTTGCAAGAAAATACGGAAAGTGTTGTATTGGATTCTGACTGTGAATGCTTGCTTAACAATTTAGTACCATACTGGAATGAAATCATGGGGGCTGAGTAATCCATTCTTTGGTTTGTTTCAGAAACATGTGTGTTTGCATTTCTTGGCCTGTCCATTTTTAGTTTTCCTCACAAGTTTGAAATTTCCTTTGTCATCTGGTGCATAGTAAGTATTTTCCTTGTTTTTTTTTTTTTTTTTTTTTTTTTTTTTTTTTTTTTTTTTTTTTTACATTTTTTTTACTTAGCTTATTTGTAGATCGGTAACCACATGTTCTGGATTCATTTATGTAACTGTTAACTGTTCAAAGTCAACAGCTACATAGACACTCTTTTGTTTAAAGTTTCTTTTGTTAAAAGAAAATCACAAACATACAATAAGGGGACTGGGTAGAATTAAGTGAATAAATATCCCCATAAAGGACTTCTGCTTGTTTTTTAAGATTATTAATGGCTTTGAATATTATGGTCTGGTTTATATGTTTTTGTGTGAGGAGGTAAAAGCAGATTTCAAAATTGAATATGTAATTGATCATAACCATATAAACATAATTATTATGCATAGAAAAAAGAAAATATGTAAAGAAAATATAGCTACATGTTCACAGTGGTATAGAGCTGGGGATTTCTCTCTCTTTTCTACTTTTTCTGGATAATTTATTATGTACTTGTTAATGCAGTTTTCTTCAAATCTTTCTATTTATAAGTGTGCCCTTGCACATTTGTTTAAAGATTACCAATCCCTTACCTCACCTGAAGAGTCATCCAGAGGAGTTATCCTAGATGATGGTAACAACCAAGAGGATTTGGGGGCTGGGTGTGTTGGCTCTTGCCTGTAATGCCAACACTTTGGGAGGCTGAGACAGGAGGATCGTGGAGCCAGGAGTTTGAGACCAGCTTGGGCAACGTGGCGAGAGCCCATTTTTTAAAAATTAAAAACAATTTTTAAAAAAGAAGGTTTGGGAAACAAGCCAGGCACAGTGGTGCATCTATAGTCCCAGCTGCATGGGAGGCTGAGGCAGGAGGATCGCTTGAGCCCAGAAGTTCGAGGCTGTAGTAAGGGCTGATTGTGCCACTGCACTCCAGCCTCGGCGACAGAGTGAGACGCCATCTCTAAAAAATAAAAATTTAAGAACTTAAAAAAAAAAAAAGGTGTGGGAAACAGTGTTATAATTGGACTGGGTGTGGCAGTAGGCAACAAATCTACCTTTAAAAAAGGAAAAGATAAGCTTCATCATTTTCAGCAGAACCAAATTACTTTTGGGAATGGAGTGAGGAAAAATAAGTGTTTGGTGTTTTAAAGAAAGGTCTAGATTCCTCAGTCGTGATCAAAGTGACGTTAATGACTTGTAACGCTTGGACATTTAGCAGTCGGTTCTTTCTTATGTCTCTGTTCCTTCAGCAGGAATTGATCTTCCGTAAGTACTACTGCGGATTCATCCTGTAATTCCTGATTTGATTTTGTTGACTACTTTTTAGATCCTCTGATAATTTAAGGCACTTAAGAAGCATACCTTACAGCCTGGCCAACATGGCAAAACCCTTTCTCTACTAAAAATACAAAAATTAGCCAGGCACAGCAGCGTGTGCCTGTAATCCCAGCTACTTGGAAGGCTGAGGCAGGAGAATCGCTTGAACCCAAGAGATGGAAGTTGCATTGAGCTGAGATCGTGCCACTGCACTCTAGCCTGGGCGACAAAGTGAGACGCTGTTTAAAAAAAAAAAA